AAGAGCATTTTTCCACTTTAATCAGGGACGCACAGTTTATTTTTATCCACAGACTCCCCTTACCTGCATAGGCAGTTCATTGGTGAAGGTGAACTTATGCAGGCCATAGATGGGTCAAAAATCGGCCGATTTTCACACCGTTAGTGGTTTAATTGGTCGGCTGTCTTTCGGGATTTTGGCACATTTTTTTTTTATCGGTTAAGTTGGAAACAAATCAGCCTATTTTCCCAGCAATGATGTGCAAATCGGCCAATCTTTTTATCGATTAAAAAATCTGCACATGAGCCGTGACCTGCAAGAAGAAAAAGAAGAATTCTAGTCTGCTACTATTATTGACATGAAAAAGTATTGCAGTTGCAGCAAGGTATCTATTTGTGTCCAAATAGCAACAATGTATCTATTTGTATCCGAATAGCAACAATGTATCTATTTGTATCCGAATAAAACCATCTGTATCCGAAATAGATACATTGTTTCAACCGCAATACTTTTTCATGTCAATAATAGGAGCTCTCTGCAGGGACAGAAGTAATAAAATGCCAGCTGTAGACGGGACAAAAAATCTGTATATATAATATATATATATATATATATATATATATATATATATATATATATATATATATATATATATATATATATATATATATATATATATTTTTTTTTTTTTTTTTTTTTTTTTTTTTTTTTTACTGTTGGTGGTAACGTCAGCCTATTGAACGACCGATTTTTCGTGGGTTTTTTTTAGTTAAATCGGCCAGTTTTCGGCCCGTCTATGGCCTGCATATCCCTTTTAAATTTTCCTTCTTCTGACTACACTTACAAAGTCTAGAAGTTCCCAGCAACTCTTTAAGTGTGTTCTGGAGTCTGTTGTGTGCTGAAAGCAGCTGTTCCATCTGATTGGCTGCATTCACTGTTTTGGCTGAAACTTTTCCATCTGGCACCTTTGATTTCAAATCAAAGTTTGTCAAGCTATTTGGGATCAACAGGGCCAACTATGGCTCAAATGTATTCAAGCTGTATGACTAGTAATAGAGAACTTTGCAGACTGCTTGGAATTTCAGTGCAATAAGAGGGACTCTGTCGTCCGTTCAAACTATAGGTAGGAGGTGACTGGATTTCTTGCAGATCAAAAGGGATAAAATATGGGGAAATTTATTGCAGAGATACTTTTTTTTTTTTTTTTTTTACCTTTTTGCCCAGACATTTTGTATTGTAACTGGGTGATGTGTGCTTTAAATTGGATAGGATGGGGTTAACATCTAGGGTGATCTATGTGTAATGTGTGTGATATGTGCTGCTATTGGTAAGGATTGGTTGTGTTTTTTTTTTTTTTCTACCCCCTGTTTAGCAGGGAATAAATCAATGGCCGCAAGATCCCCTATTGGTGGACAGAGCTCTGGATTGTTTACAATCACAGAACTCTGTTGTGTGAATCACTGAGCCGATCAGCGCATCCCAGCAATCAGTCATTGGCCGAGACATGCTGATCGGCTTGTCCTGTAACAAATCATAGCACAGCCAGGCCAGCGAGTGCTGCCTGTCTGGTCTCGCGGATCACGTACCGGGTACATGATCCAGCGCAGAGGTGCAGCTATGCTGGCGTAATAGTACGTTAGGCAGTCAAAAAAGCGGTTAACATAAACAGGTTGTTGGCCTCTTAGTGATTCATAACACACTGGTATGCGCTACTATTCAATCAGACAGTATACACTTATGTGGTTGTGTGTGTCATTTCACTAAATTGGGGGGTGTATAGGAGGCATTCACCTCACATCTAGTGCTGGAGATCCATTTTTATTGAAGAGGAGGATCAGAGTTCAACAGTCTAGCTGATTGGCTGACTCTAATTGAACACCAGCCTCAAAACTGGTGCAGTGATCTTCGTAAGTTGCCACTTTCAGGATATTGCAAAAATTGCATATTGTAAATTCAGCTGGGGGGGGGGGTTAAAACTGAAAAAAAATTGTATACAATTGACAGTGTAACTAAGGCAAAACTTTTTTTTTTTTTAAAATAGAGTAAGGGAGGGTTTGGGTGTTTTTTGTTGTTGTGTGTGTGTGTGTGTGAGGTGTGTGTGTGTGTGTGTGTGTGTGTGTGTGTGTGTGTGTTTTTGTCATCTGCATCCTGTAAGAGATCTCCCTTCACTTCAATTTCCATAGCCAGAACAGGAAGTGAGAGGCTATCCCGCCAAAGAAATGTAATCCCAGGGTGTCACCAGAACTAGTGTCCCCATTGGAAGGGTTCTTCTCTATTACTTTTCTGGTGAGAAGCCAAAACTTGGGGTTTTCTTTTGCTTTCAATGATCACCATAAACAGGACAAATGGAGACTGTGAATCTCCCTAACTGGGACACAAACGGCAATAAAATCTGGCAAGGGTTCTAATCCCTCTCCACTTTATCCAAAATTGAAGAAAAAAAAATTATGTGTTTGATGTGTGCAGTGTGAGGTAAGATTGTAGGTATTTGTTAATAATATGTAACTACAGTTTAGTCAGTTATTGCTTTCATCCTGTCTTAGATACTTAGATATTTGTAAAGCCAGCTGGGTGCTAAGGTGTGTGTGTGTGATTATTTTATTTTTTTTTTTTTGTATCTGTTCTAAAAGTCAGTTATTTGCCAAGTGCTCTTTAGCACAGTTTCATTGCAGTACTGTTTACACACCACTGTTTGCACCTGCCGAGTCAGAGCAGGAAAACCTGTGTTCATGTTAGGCCTTTGACCACTATTCATTTTATATTGACTTAAAAAATAATCTGTTATGGCCTATAAATAAAAGCACACTCTATTTTTTTTTTTTTTTTTTGGTGAGGGTATATCGGCTCTTATTACAATATTCTCACCTGCCGCATTGTTCTGCCAGGTCAAACGTTTCCTGGTTTTAAAACATCTGCAAATGAAAAAAAAAACCATGTTATGGTTTACCTTGTTCTGATCTTAAAAAGTATTGAAACGCAAGAACAAAAAGTTAATACGAGGCTCATTCAAAAAGTTTCTGCTCTTTTTTTTAAAACTATTATTTCTGTATATGAGTGCAGAAACCTCTAATCCTTAGATGTGGCAGCTGCAGTAGTTTTCTAGGAATGCATGCTGAAAATGCAAACTAAAGCATGATATTTTTACATCACTTTAGGATGAATTCACCCACCATAGGGCCCCCCAAAAAAGGTAGTTTTTACATACAAGACTCTAACAAACTTTGGAAGTCATGGATTTTCTGCAGTTTCCTAACAAATAATGTGTATTCCTTAAAGTAACCCTTTTAGGCTTGGTTGTTCACATTGCCACAACTTAGGATCCGACTTGAGACCCCAAATCTCATGACATGTAAAATCCCATGTTAGTCAATGAGAGCTGTCTTAACCTTCCTGGAGGTATTCCCGAGTGTAGCTCTTGGTAAAGTTTCAGCACCACAAGCAGTAACCCCGAGCTACACTTGGGAATACCCTGCAGTGCTGCTCCGGGATCTCTTCTGCACTTGCCTTGTTCTGTGCTCCCGCGATGTGTGCCCGGCAATGTCCTCTGGCCAATGCCGGCATCCGTCTTCTGGGTTCCGTTCCCTGCGACGTCAGGACGTACAGGGATGGAACTGGCAGGAAATTTGAAAGTTGTAAAAGTGACATTCACTAAAATCACATAGTAAACCATTACTGTATCAAACCATTTCACATACATTTTGTCCTGTGCCCTGCCTGCATTTTTACTGTTCTTTCTGCCTGGAAACTGAGAAATGTACATGGCATCCAAAAAGCGTCCCTTTAGGTCAAAAGCAGTTTTAGATCAGCTAGAGAACAGCGATACTAAATCAGAACCACTTGCAGAATTGAGTGATAATGATTTGTGGGGAAATTTTGTCATCACACTGAAAACAATTTTGTGACTTTGCTCAGTGATGTGCGAACTTGGCTCTCTATTTCAAATTTCAGTGTTTTTGGTTTGATTATATTTATTTTATTATTTATGATCATTAAATTATAAGTTATGATTTCGTGTTTCAAATTTTAACATACCAGGGATGTTTACTAGACTCTTGTTCGGACAGATTTCAGTGAGTTATTTCTAAAATTTTACAGGCCTACAATAAAAGAAAATACATATTTCCATGCAAAAAATGTACTGCTTTGAGCACAGAAATATGGACATAATCAGACCGCTAGGGAGGCTACTTGGATATATATATATATATATATATATATATATATATATATATATATATATATATATATATATATATATATATATATATATATATTATTTGGATGCGACATCACAGGACGATTACCCAGGCACTCTCTGAAAGTTGTTTCACAGTAGTACTCAAGTTCCCTGGTAAATTCGCATGACTTTCAGGTAGCAGTAGTGTGATCCAAGGGCAACATCTGGGGTCTATAAGACCCCAGATCTCTCTTCCACCCTGGAAAGCGGGAGCCAAAAAAAAATTACAAAAAAAAAAGGCAGTGTTTACATGGAAATGATGTCATGACGGGGGGGCGGCAGCCCTTCCCGCCTCCTGTAAAAGGCTGATAATCTGCTGGGATTGCTTTTAAATGAAAAGGCATCGCCGGCTGAAGATAAAAAAAAAAAAAAACAATAGAGGTTATGGCATACAGCTGCAACCCTAACCCCCAGTATAATCGCTTGAATCCAATCACATACTTGTCTGGCCATAGGAATGTATGCTTAAAACATGTTCTGGACACAGGCACAGGTACCTGCTTGTAACTTTAGTTATCTTTATGAGCATCCTGCTTGTCTGAATACCCGAGACACTCCATATGTTAATGGTGGTTTCTAGGAATTACATTGAGTTCTGCTATGCCCTCTATTAACAGGCATGAGGGGAGTAGCAGCAAATTGTAGCTAACATGTTGGGCACCTGGTGAAGATAAATGAAGGTGCAACTTAAGCGCTCTTAAAGTCTGCAAATAGCAGAAATAGTGTGATAGTGTGAAGTTGAATTTGAGAAGTATGCTTTACTAATGCTGTGACTTTCTTTTTAAGGTTTGGACCACATGGAATCCCTGTAACCGTTCATCCTAAACGAGAATACAAAAACAAACCAGAGGAACCTATCCAGGTACAAAGCACATCATTCCAGGAAGACACGAAAAAAGAAATTAATAATGAGGATGGAACTGCAGATGCCTCTCCCATCCAACCCAGTGAGCCCTGTGGAGTTCATAACCTGTGGACTTCAAAGCCTCCTCCACTTTTTCATGAAGGAGCTCCTTACCCCCCTCCTTTGTTTATCAGGGACACTTATAACCAGTCAATACCTCAACCTCCTCCACGTAAAATCAAGAGACTCAAAAAGAAAATATACAGGGAAGAACCCACTTCGATAATGAACGCTATCAAGCTAAGGCCTAGGCAGGTATTATGCGACAAATGTAAAAATGTTGTGGCAGATAAAAAGGAGGTCAGGAAGACTGGTACTGACTCTTTTAAACTAGAAGAAGGAAAGCGGAGGAGGCATGAAAGTGTAACTACTGTGAATAAAAAACTCAAAACTGATCACAAAGTAAATGGAAAAAGTCAGAATGAAAGTCAGAAGCGAAATTCAATGTCCAGGGTTACAAATCTTAGCCATGGTCGTGGAAAAGTGGTCAAAGTGGCTTCCCAAATGAATACCACAAAAGCCCAGCTGCACACAAAAAAGGTACTGCAGAGCAAAAATATGGATCACGTAAAGGCAAGGGTAGTATTAAAAATGGCCAAAGAAAAGGCACAGAAAAAGCAAAAGGACGCATCTTCCTCTAAAAACACCCACAACAAAGTCCACTTTACAAGGCGCCTTCAGAATACAAGCTCAGGGACTCTTCCACCAAGACTACGTATAAAACCTCAAAGGTACCGCAATGAGGAGAACGATTCTTCACTCAAGATTGGACTTGAGAGTTTGCGAAGCAGCAAGATCGGTATCAAGCCCCAGACTCGCCACACTGCCACCCGTTCAGCAGGTGAGGCCCCTTCAAATGGCCCTCAAGAGGCCAGCAGTGATATTCAGAACACAAGTGTCTGTGTACCACCTGGCGAACAGGATGAGCAGCAAACACTGAGCAAGCAAGGCAGCAAAAGCAATATTACAGTTTACATGACCCTAAATCAAACGAAAGCCGACTCTTCCAGTGCTTCAGTGTGTAGTAGTGATAGTACAGATGATTTGAAATCCATCCACTCCGAGTGTAGTTCTACTGAAAACTTTGATTTCCCCCCAGGCAGCATGCATGCACCTTCTTCATCATCTTCCTCCTCTTCAAAAGAAGAGAAAAAGTTGAGCAATTCCTTGAAAATAAAGGTGTTTTCCAAAAATGTCTCTAAATGCATGACCCCTGATGGCAGGACCATATGTGTTGGGGACATCGTATGGGCCAAGATATATGGCTTCCCATGGTGGCCTGCCCGTATTCTTACCATAACTGTCAGTCGGAAAGATAATGGCCTGCTTGTGCGGCAGGAGGCCCGCATATCATGGTTTGGGTCCCCAACCACCTCCTTTCTTGCTTTGTCACAGCTGTCCCCCTTTTTAGAAAACTTCCAGTCCCGATTTAACAAGAAGAGAAAAGGTCTTTACCGCAAGGCCATCACAGAGGCAGCCAAGGCTGCCAAGCAGCTCACTCCAGAAGTGCGGGCCCTTCTGACACAATTTGAAACGTGATCCCTGCCACACTCGTAAGGTAGGCAAGTTTAGTGGTTGTTTTTTTTTTTGTTTTTCATAGCTTAGACATATAAATATTTTTAAACTTTTTTTATGTGGTCTTGGCTGGAGTGAGAGATCTCCTTTTTGTTTAAAAGTCTGCAGAGCTTCATTTGTGGTAGCCCACATTTCACTTCACTAAAGATACCTGAAAGGAACAAAATTAACTATTTATGCAACGACAGGTCTCTGCTAAACAAGCTTCAAATGGCACCATGTTCATGTACTTGCCATAGCCCCTGCTTGTTAAGGTGGACCTGCCAACTGTACAACTTTTTTTTTTTTATTTTTATTTTTTTTTTTTTTAACTGCCTGTTTGTCATTTATTAGATCACCTGTGATAGTGGATTCATGTTATAAGAAAAAATATAATGTACATAAATTAGATTTACAGTGTAGCATTTTTATTTCCTAAATTTATTATTGGGGCGACCGCTTAGATCAAATCTTAAAATAAATGTGGCCAGCTTGAGATGGTCATATTGAACATAATTGCTTAAAAGGATAAAAAAAATCAGATTTTTCTCCTTGCTCCTTTTTTAAGATCTGTTCTAATTACGACATGTTGTGATTTGTTAAATGTCTCATTGTTACATTTTTGGATGTATCTCTTTCAAATGCATATTTTTTTCCAGTTTGTTTTTCATTTAAGGTATCTGTTTGCAGGTCAGAAGTTATGAAACAAATGTAACTGTATTGCTCTGAAATGTACAAAAAGTGTAAATAAAAGCCACTAAATCTGATTTTGTTTTGTGTGTTACTGAGAACTTTGCAGAGCAACTGCTTCTTAAAAGCTGCATGTAATTCACAAGGTTCCAATAAAAGAATATTTTGGGGAAGAAATAAACTTGCATTGAGAGGGCTGGCACTTCTGAGGGTGTGATGCACAGCTGCATGATGAAAGGGAGTACAGTAATTAAATCTTGCTTTTCCATATAGACTCAAAACCACTCATTAAATGCTAATTGTAAACATATATGTATATTTAATTATGCAAGTCAGTTTTTTGTTTTTTGAACGTTAAAGTGTGTGCAAAGTTTTTTTTTTTTTTTTTTTTTTTTTTTCATTGCAGTGTTCTTGCTGGAGAGATGCACCCTTGTTGTTGCCACTGTTTTCTCCAGAACAGAGTGTAATGGGATATACAAAGTTTAGAGTTGTCACATGAACAGCAGCTGAGGAAATATTCTATTTGAGACCCCTGACACCTGTTTTTAGTGTCAATTATCAAAGGGGGTGTTTCCTCTCATTTTATAAAGATGTGGTCTCTGAGACAGGAATTGACGAAAAATCTTCTTGAGACAGGAATTGACGAAAAATCTTCTTGACAGTACACGGACAGTTTAAAAAAAAATAAATAAATTAAAAAAAAACTGGGGCCTTAGGTTGTTCTACACAAACATAACTATTGACTTTACGTTGACTTTAAATGTTTTTTTGTGAGTTTTGGTGGCAAATCCATTGTCTTGGCATCAGTCAATTAAAGGGTTTTCTATTTTATTACTATTTTCATATAATACGATTAATACAAATTCAAAAAGAGAATTTATTTGTGTGCTTCGTCATTACCATTCATTTACATTTTTTTATTTTTAAATATCAAATCTGGGGTCAATCAGGTTGGAATGTTTGTGTAAAATTTGTGCTGTCATATTTATTTCCCTACTGCACAAATATTAAAAGCGTGCATGGGTGAAATTCTTATCCTTGCCATTTTCTGGGAAGATTTAACAGTTTGTTTGTTTTGTGTGTGTTGTTGTTGTGTTTTTTTTTTTTTGTATATAATATCAATCAACAAAGCGTCATATTTATAAAGCGGTAAATGTGACCTTCACCATGCTTTCTCTGCAATTTAATTTTAAACCGTGTGCATCAGAAAGATGCACATGTAGTGAATGTTTGTTTGAATGTCACATTCACTGCTTTTATAAATATTTGGGCCCGTTTTCACATGGGTGGACCAATCGGACCCTCTATTGTCCTTTATGGAGCAGCGGATGTAAACAGACCCCGTTTTACATCTGCCTATATCCAATCTGATCCATCCCACTAAAAACAGATGGATGAGGATCTGTTCCCCATCCATCTAGCAGATCAGATGGCAATCGGGTGTAAACGGACAGGCCATTCTTTTAAATCCGACCGCCCATAGAGGACAGCGGGCTGTGTCCATTCTGTGTAATCTGAGCTGACATGGACCAGCACGGATTCCCGACTGAGCAAGCGAACACCTGACAGTCCATCTTGTGTGCAGGGGGCCTAAGTGTTTTTGTTTGTTTGATGCATTTTTCACAACACAAATATTTTATGCAATGCTGAAAGGAAACAGTAAAGCTGGCCATAGATGGTTCAAAACTCATCTGGTCCAGCAGAGACCAATTTGATTGTTTTATGACTTGGGTACAACCAGCATGTCGGGTTTTTACAGCCAATTATTGCCAGCGGCTATAACCACTAGCAATAATCACTGTGTTCTGGCAGGGACGACTCCCTGAGCCCTTGCTGGGAGAATACAATAACTCTGCGGAAGGGATTGTCCCATCAACACTGTTGATTGGGATTTGTACGATTTTTCTTTCTTGCAACCAGTAGTTAAGAAAATCGCATCATCTGTGACCTAAGAGGATGTAACAGGCCTTTTTATTTGTTTATAGTGCTCTGTTACAAACTGCTGAGAAACCAACTAAACATCTAATACGGCACCAGTTAAAAGTGCAACAAATTCTGATCATAAAAGCTTAAATCAAAGGGTGGTCTTACACATCATGATGCAAAAATTGGTGATTTAAGGTTACTAATAGCAACTAAAAATAGTTCAAGTTACCTATACAAGCCTACATATGGAACAAGGTAGTATTTTAATTTCCTGGTATCACATAAGCCCCAGATTGTTTTGCATATATTTATGCTTATGGTGTATTCAAAAGAGATTCAATCTAGAAATGTTATCAGGCACTAATGTGCATTGAATGTGCTTATCCATAGAATGTTTTGGTGTTACAACTTGAAGAAAAACGGAATGGAATTCAGAAGCATGACCCTAAATCTTTTGAATTAGGGAATTATCAGCTGCACATCACAGCTATTTTATTTCACTAATATTGCATGAAATTTAACTTTGTTTTCATGTATTCTCTCCTGCAAACAGAAACTACAATTATAAGTTTTCATAAAGATATACATTTTTTTTTTTTAATTTACGTTTGGTCTGTGTTTGAGGATTTTTTTTTTTTTTTTTTTAATTTTTTTTTCATTCATCTGAAAGTGGACCATTATATGTTGAGTATTTTCATAATTCTGGTATCTTCTTTTATACTTTGGTTTTTCTTTAAAAAAAAATGTTTTCTTCCCAAATGCAGAAAATTGAAGGGTTTTAGGCCTCATTTAAAGTGTCTACAGTCTCTCATTTAGCATCATCCACACAGTGATGATATCCCCTTAGGGGCACACCTGCTCTGCCCCCTTCATCTTTAGTATTTACACATAGACCAACTGCATGTAGCTACTTAACAGGCAATACAGCTTCCTTGTAAGGAGAGTGGGTGGAAACTTGCAAGTCATTCTGTACAGGCTTGTGGCCAACTGTGTATGCTGGGTTATAACCTAGATAAGGTGTATTGGTGTTTGCATATCAGGAGTTTAAAGAGGGACTTCAGTGTCTTTAAAAATAAATACATAAAAGTCAGTAGCTGCAAATACTACAGCTGATTACTTTTAATATAAGGACACCTACAGGTCCAGCACTGTCCTCACAAAAAAAAAAAAAAAAAAAAAAAAAAAAAAAAACAGTTCTTCACTGGGGTTTGGGTCCCTATCACTGGCATGTTTACTAATGGAAGCTGACTGCTACTTCACAGCCTGCTTCCTGCTGCACTGTGCTTTGTAAATGGTCCGGCAGCTTTCTGGGGTCAGTGACATGTCCCAGAAAGCTGGGGGGGGCAACTGTTATTCTTTGCCAAGTTACCCCAGAAGAGGAGGTTCCGGGCTGCTCTGTGTAAAAAGATTGCACAGAGCAGGTAAGTATAACATTTATTTTTTTTGTTAAAGAAAAGCAGCTTTAAAACCACTTTAAGAATCATGGTTGTACATAGGGACATAAATAATTTTCATGTCTTCCCAGTCCCTCTATGTATGTATCCTCTCCCCACCATGCATTTCAGTGATGGCCCAGAGTTCAGACAGGCTCTGATACAGCCTGCTACATACACTCACTGACTACTTTATTAGGTACACCTGTTCAATTATTTGGCTGATTAGCAATTTGTGTTACCAATCACATGGCAGCAACTCCATGCATTTAGGCATGTAGACGTGGTGAAGACGACTTGCTGAAGTTCAAAGCGAGGATCAGAATGGGGGAAGAAAGGAGATCTAAGTGACTTTGAACATGGCATGGTTATTGATGCCAGACGGGTTAGTATTTCAAAAACTGATCTATGGGGACTTTCACACATAACCATCGCTAGGGTTTAAAGAGAGATCCGAAAAAGAGAAAATATCCAGTGAGCAGCAGTTGTGTGAACGAAAATGCCTTGTTGAGGGCAGACTGGTTGCTGTTCCATTCAGATGGTAGGGTTATATTTTGGCATCAACAAAATGAAAGCATGGATCCATCCTGCCTTGTATCAACGGTTCAGGTAGCTGGTGGTGGTGTAATGGTGTGCAGGATATTTTCTTGTACTAGCAAGATGTACCTAACAGAGTGGTCAGTGAGAGTATTTCAGTGTAGGATATTTTGGGTTTGTTTTGCCCAGAAAAAAAGGGGGAAGCTAAGTTTTATTTTTAGGTCTATTGAATGAAAGTGTACAAGACCATCTATCAAGTGCACAGAGGTAAAAAAAAAATAACCAAAAAACTCCATGTGACCTTCTGAGTCTCCCTGGTAATGAAACAAGTGTCACTGGACAGGGAAAAAGCAGCCTTTCGCCTGGTTTACATGGGCTTCAGCTTGTATAGGAGAAAGT